TCGTTGCTTTTTTTCTTCAAATAAAATAAAAGCTAAAATAGCGACGCTCATTGTAAACTTTAGTAGACTTCATTCAGCATTTCAAATTTATAAAACGCTTCCTAATTCATTCATTTGCAAATTTTGTCACATTAGTAAACAGCTGATTCGAATATTGCTTTTGCATATGTTCGAAAGGACGCAAATCCAATTAGATTCTGTGACACCATTCAAAATCAGAATAGGTTTGCAATTCTGACAACTACGTAAATCTGTCTTGGATTCCACAACACCCCTGATTAAATTTTTATAGTTCATAGTTATGTATTGGAGAAGTAGGGTATTTTTGAAATATGACTCTAAAAATCCCTGTCGTCTTCGTGTGATACTACATGTCGATACATTTCATCGAAGTCATCATTGAATACGGGTTTGAATATACGCTGATTTAAGAAAAAAGAAACGTACCGAAGAAATCTTTCAACGAGAGTATTAGGTTATATATAGTTTGTGTGTTGTTCATGTATTATATTAAAGAAAATCTGAATATGTTATTATCACTGCAATACTGGTTACTGAGGTACAACATGATTTAGAGAAGTCATGCACTTGCCTAGAATCTCCGCCGCGTGCTCTACTGTTTTTAATCTTTGAGTAGATCATATTAAGCCATTTGTAAATAGAAAAATACCATCACGCCGAAAAAATACTGACTTCTAACATATATAAGTCGAAATTTATGGGTGGTTTGTCTTATGTCTGGTCTAAAAATGGTGATATAAATACTCAAAAACAATTTGCTTCCAAGCGCTAAAGGCCTTGGTATTCTTAAGCAGTCCTTTTATATCAAAACAATTACACGAAGCACAAGCACTGTGCAATCTGGGCTAATATGGAATTTTCACCACTTGCTCACGTTATCAGTATACTTGCCTGACATGAGCCTCTTCGAAGATGTATGGGCTTTACCGGACACAAATATCCACAAATGCAAAGTTTCACATAAATTAAGTTGAAGCAGACGCTGATGAAGGATTGGCAAAGAACTCTCTTTAACTTACTCAAAAACTGATTGATTCAATATCAAACAGGCTGTACTCCCTTACTAAGGAAATTTGTTATCACACCACATAATAAAAAATTTTAAATATAGTTAAAAATTAATGAGTCCTAAGTTTAAGATAGTCTGTGATGTAAATTTTTAAGGTGTTTTTATACTCTTGCAACATGTTGCTACATAGCATAATAGTTTTGTTCATCTAACGGTTGTTTGCATCACCTGAAACTAATCGAAATAGATATAGGGTTGTATATGTATATATATATTATGAGGATGACGAGACGAGTTGAAATCCTAGTGACTGCCCGTCCATCTGTCCGGACAAGCGTTAACTTGAGTCAAAATTGAGATATCTTGATGAAACTTGGCACGAATATTTCTTGGCACCCAAAGAGGTTGGTATTACAAATGGGCAGAATCGGACCATTGTCACGCCCACAAAAAGCCATTAAACTAAAACTTTTAAAGTGCCATAACTAAGCCGCAAATGAAGATGCAAAACTTTAATTTGGTAGAGGAGATCGCAGTGCTTTTAACTAGGCGTGGCTCCGCCCCCTAAATGGTTTAGTTTACATATCTTCCAAACCGTTTTAGATATATCAACCTAACTTGTTGAGAAGAAGTGATTTTATAACCTTTGCAAACTCTGTGAAAATGGGTAAAATCGGATAATAACCACGCCCACTCTCCCTTTAACGGTTATGTTGAAAACTAATAATAGTACTATAACTCAGAGAATAAATGAGCCACTAGCATTAAATTACATAACCAGGATGGTAGAGAAGGTCTCTTTAGGATCTGGTGTGAAAATTGGACAAGAGGCATGGCACCGCCCACCTTAAGGTGAAATCCTATATCTCAGAAACTACATATCTATTAGACACCGCAACAATTGGCGACAACCTTGCCTAATTGCCATATAACAAACTTTTCAATTCCGTCTGATTCTTTCAATTTACAGTTTACAAATCAAACATCAATAAAGTTATCCGAATAAAAATTTGCAAAATAGTGCCCTCAAGGTATTTCATCTCAACTAACATAAATATTTTCGAACCGGAGGGGTTCCCTTTTTGCCGCATCTATCGGTCAATATTTAAGAAATCTTAATGAAATTTGAAAATATAATTTTAGCTGAGTTATTAAAAATTAAAAAGAAAAGGATTAGGACCTTTATAAATGGAGTATGAGCTCAGAAGCTTAATTAGCTTATCTTTTTAAGTTGTTTATTGATATATTTTGGTGTATGATGCTTAAAAATTTTTGATAGTTCTTTCAGAAAGAATTTTGAAATCAATTGAATGAAATCAAGGCGATACTTTCCTTAGTTTGATATAAAGTTTTGCCAAAAGCTGAAGATGTTCCTCCGCTTTTATTGCTTGCAAGAGTATGTTAGCCCTTCCTTACTTGTTAATTTTTGTTTTTAAAAACATAAAATAATTGATTAATTAAATAAAAATAGCTTCATAATGAAACTTAACTGATTATTATACAAATGATCATCCACATTATTTAAATATCTTTCAGTTTTAACATTATCAGAGGTACTGCCTCAAATAAGCTGTAAGCTAGTGTATGTGGGTGGGTGCGAGATGGTCAATCTATGAAGCAACTGGACAATGGTCGTGGCGCCGCCAATCTTAGGTTAAATTATTTGCACCAATAGTGGTGCACTTATTGCAAGAATGGGTAAAATCAAACTTCCTAGCAGCATAACAAATTTTCGATCTTCGCGTAATTTTTGCATTTTATTTTCTTTTACATTTTTTTCTTTTAAGAGATCTGGACTGCTTCTTGGCCTCGAGAGATTCTGTAAATATTTTTTTTTTTACTCTATAGCAAGTGGCTAAATCATCCTTCTTATTCTGACTCATCCTAAAAATTAATTCTTTGTGTGTGTTTGGACAACTTCAATATTTGGCAAAACGCCTTCTTTCGGCATTCACATATCTCTTTAAAATAATAAGAAGCCTAACACTAAACTTGATTATAGCCCCCACACCATTAGAAAGGATGATTACTTTAGGATAGAATAAACACAGCTTAAAAAAATCTCCTTTTCTACTTCGTACTGTGAAATTTTAGCCGGGTCCAAAGAAATTAAATTTAGACTGGTCGGAAAAAATAACATTTGGCCAGTCTAATGTAGTCTAAATTTTGTGTGTCACCGCCTCGATACCGAATTCGATACGTAACTTTATCCCGACGTATATCAATAATAATAATAAAAATGGGCGAAAACGAACCAAAAACATGCCTATATTTCGATATATAAAAAAATAATACTTCTTCCTGCCATAAGTTCCGTAACCAGATTTGGCCGTTATAAAACTAAAACTTTGGATAATTTTCGGCTAAAGTGGTGCACCTCAAAGACACTGTTTGTGCAAAGTTTTATCCCGAAAAATTAATTGGTGCTTGATTAGCGTACTGAAAAGTGAAAGAATCCGATGGAATTTAAAATTATGTTATATAGGACTGAAATATAGGAATGTTAAGATAATATTACATACCACATTTGGTCCATATCGGTCGAGTAGGTCCTGAGATATGGTTTTTACTGAAATGTGTGCGGTGACACAAGCATCGTCCAGTTTAACCTCTGGCTCCTGTAAAGGCCTTTTGTATCATCCTAGGTGTAAAATTTATTGTCTCTGGCGTATTTATAAATTGACTAATCGCGCTTTTAGTATTTTTTAACAAAACCGTTATATGGGGAGTGGGCGGTGTGATCACCCGATTTCATCCATATTTACAGTGTCGTATGGTAGGGTGCTTAAGAGATTCGTATTGAGCGAATTTGGTTGTTGTACCTTAAGTTGTTTAGGAAATATGTACATTAAACCTCTTAGAGGACGAAGTCAAGCCCACAGGTGCCTCTTACTAATGTGATCCCCTGTGTCAAATGACAGTCTTATATCTTAATTTAGTGCTTAGTTATGGCACTTTGTAGATTTTCTTTTTTGGCGTTTTGCGGGCATGGCTGATTACGCCTATCTACGAACTCGTCTTCAGATTTTGCCAAGGAACGGGTGTATCAAGTTTCATTAGGATATCTCAATTTTTACTCAAGTTACAGCTTGCACAGACAGACAGACATCCGGATTTCAACTCGTCTCATCATCCGTATCATTTATATATGTATATAACTCCATATCTATCTCGATTAGTTTTAGGTGATACAAATAACCGTTATGTGAACAAACCTGCATACACTGCAGCAACATGTTGCAAGAGTTTAAAAATAACGCCACTTTTGTTTACGAATCTGGCCTCGCTGTAAGCATTGTTAACTTTGTAACAATTTATAGCAAGACTAAGTATGTGATATTTCAATGGAATGTGGATATGCTTTTATAAACAAAATGTGGTATAGCGCTGAATATGAAAGAAATCGGTATGGACCATGGTCTAAGTCCTTTATCCCTAATGTAATGAATTCCATTTCACTGGTTGATTTTTTCCTCATATTTCTAATATAAATATAATACTAAATTTAGTTTCTTTGCTTGAGTTTACATCACATATACATCATTTAAGTTAACTAGATTGATTTTAATGAAAATATTAGAATAGGATATGAAGAAATATATAGTAAGTATGATAAATGAGTTTATGACATAAAATATAAGCTAATAAGATACCAAACATCATTTTGATAATTTCACCCTTTCGTCGAACACAGAATGTTGAATTATGCGCTGGTTTAACAGTGTTATAGATGGTAATATTAGGGATAGGGACGAAACTAGACGCCTTGAATATTTGTATGGTTTACATTATAGATATGATTTTTATTTGTAGATATATTGTTTTTGAATTAAACCTTAAAAATACACGTGTGTAATAATCGGTCAGTCATTTTGAAATCTATTGGAGGAAAATATACATATATATTATATTACATTTTTGCTAATTTTTGATTGTAACTACTTATATGACCATATAAATGTTTCTTCAGGCTTACTACTTCAGTGAATTTACCTACAGAGTTTATACATTTATATATCAGCAATTGCATTTCTACATGTGAGACTGTTAAGGACAAATATATGCAGTCACGTCTGGTGCGTTTAGTTTGTGTTTTTTTGCAATCACTTATAAGGAATAAAATAATTAATGTCAAGGTAAGTTTCCGCAAATATATATATTTTTAAATTACACAAATTCTCATCACATCTATTTATGTATGTACTTCAGAGTCAATTTTGGTACAAATATCAGTGAAATAACCTATTTTTGATTGAGGGTTCTCTCCAAAATTCAATAATAAACCTCAGACGTTTACCGATATTTTTGGTCAAAAGTTAGCAGTAGGGACAGGGGTCACCGTATTCGGTGATATGCAAGCAGAGAAATTTTTTCAGTTCTTCTTCCCGTAGGCAGAGTGCACGAGTGGTTCAACATTTTCAAAGTGGTCGTGAGGACATAAATGACGATGAACATGAAACCTAAAAATCCCCATACCGAGCAACGAGCTAAACACTCGTTCGACATGCTTTTGGACCGTGCTAAAAGCTGTATTAAAGCATAAGGGACTATTTGAATAAAATTGAATAAACAAATATGTAGAAAGTGTTGGTCAGCACTTGCTGTACTCCCCTTAGGTTAGAGTTAGGACATTATTGTAAAAAAATTTCACTTTCCGAATTAAAGTCAAGCAAGCCTCACGGCTGCTAATCACAAATTAATTGTTAAAAGTGTTTATTTTTGTGCGTTGAGTCAGTTTTTCCAGCTGTTTAATATTGACAATTTTTGAGAATTTTACAATTTTTCTAGCTATCATCTATAAGAATGCAGCGTTTAAGCATAATTGTTACATAAATCATATTAATGCATAGACAGACTATGTAAATTCTTAAAAAATTTTGCAACAAAAAAGTAAAAGTAAATATTAATTCAAAAACTTATTTAAACTTTTGTAAATCAATTTTGGTAAATTATTCAATCAGAAACATTCAAAATCTAAAATTCGCCAAAAATGTAGAGAACTATTCTTGAACACTTTCCTAATGGTGCATGCAGAGTGGTCGCTGAAAGCCGAGCCGGGCGCAAAACTGACGAATGCGAGAATTCAGCTTCAAAACTTTGCGCGTCATTTTTATATAAATCGCACAAATAGCACAAAGTGGAAGCTGACCGAAGCCGAAGCTGATCAATGTGAGGAAACAGTTTTTAAGCGTTTTTCTGCACCGACTCGAGTGTTGCATAGTTCATTTGTACAGGGTGGCTCACGAATCGTGCCACAAAAACAACCGTAATAACTTCTGTGTGAGGACGCGACTGACTTTTTTATTTGTCAAGCTATTATTTAGGTTTTTAAAAATGAATGCTTGGGATACCGAAAAGATGGTTTGGATATAAAGCGGTACTATGCTTTGCAGTCCGTCTTTTCGTCCTAGAATATTATATCATTGCGGCGTTGCATCGACAAATGTTGCAAAG